AAAAAAAAAAAAAAAAAAAAAAAAAAAAAAAAAAAAAAGTCACAAGGAAATATCAAGTTGTTTTTTTTGTTGTTGTTGTTTTTGTTTTTTTGTAGCAGGGATAGAACTCAGAAATATCAAGTTTAATCTGGCCTAACATTTGTCATCATTTTAAAATTGGTATTGTTATAATTTAAACTTTATTTGTAACCGAAAGGTCTATCATAATGGATTACCTGGTATCTTGCCATTTGTACCCGTATCAATATTGCTGTGTAAAAATTCTGTATCAGAATAATGACAGTACTGTATATCATTTGATTTATTTTAATATTACATCTTTATTTTTGTCATGATTTTCATCCAATTTTATTACAAGCAGATTTCTATAGAGGCCACATACAAAAATAGGTGAAGATTCCAAAGTCAGTAAAATAGGCCTAACACTATGTGTGTTTCTATGTTGCATCCAGAAAAGTTGTGTTTGCCTGAATTTTAAGGTAATCTAAAAGAAATAAACAATGTGTACATCAGCGAAGTTTTGGAGCGTGAAAGAACTCATGGGATGTAGAAGTGACTGTGATCGGGAATGTGGACTCGCAGGCTTCCAGGGCTCAGAGTGAGGCGACAGTGATGAAGGGTGTCATGGGTGGGAAATGGGTGCTGGGTGAAGACCAAATAGCCGTGCCAACATATGTTAGCCTGAAAACCTACCAGGTATTGTAAAGCGGTTTAACGTCACAAATAAACAATATCTGAAATGAGTTTAACTGACTAAACCTGACCTGTGCTAACCCACCAAATGTTCCCCCCACCAAAAAAAAGATGTGCATTTTATAATTATTTCCCCAGCCAGAATTTACAGTTGCCCATTGTGTGGGCTTTTATCCCTTGGGCTAACATATCCCATAAACGTATGGGATCTTGCTGTGCTAATTACCATAGTTAGTCAGAGAAGTAGTATTTTTTTATTTAGTTTAGTTTGTGTTCAAGAAACATTCCTCCCCCTGTTTGTTGAAAGAGCTTGACTTCAACAAGGGAAATTATGGATAAAGGAAGAGGCACTCCAGCAATTCTGCTAAATTTATTTTCACATAATGTTAAAGGTATTCTTTTCATAAATGGTGAGAACTTATTTGGGTCAATCATCCATTTTCACCAACGTTAAAAACAACCAACTCCAACACAATTTTGCTTTTACATATACCAATTCAAGAAATGCTTTTTTAAAAAATTGATCCTTAAATGGATAGACTGTGTGAAAAAATAAAGCCAAGAGAATGAATGTGCGGTCTGTGTGGAAAATGAAGAACTGTGCTGGCTGGTTCAGTGCCCCCAAACGAGAGCAGAGTTTTGTCATTGGCTACCTTTCCCCTTGGTTACTGTTTTTATTATTTATAGTGCACCCTTCTATTTGGAGATTAGTTTTTAATTTGCTACCGTAAGTGACATATTTCAAGTAATTGTTTCAAAAATCTCATAAGGTTCTTGGAGATTTTTTTTAAATAATTTTATGTGGAGTATACAAAGCCTGGCCCTCCAAGGGCTATGATGTGTCTTGTCCAGTCCCTAGGATGTGCCTGCGTTAGCACTGGGACCTCATAGACCATTTTCTACAAGGTGAGGCAAGCAGGATTTTCCACAACAAAAAGGAATTCTCCTGTAGATTTTGATTAAAATATAGTGAATGCATTCCACCCACCATAAGATAGAAATAGATCTTGTGCCAGATACTAATGGCCAAACTCAAGTAGACCTCTGGATTTCTTTGCCAGTACTGACTTTCATGTAAACTGTCATTTCTAACTTTAACATCTTATTAAAAATATTTTTTACCATAGAAAAGTTTATGTCCAGACTATTTCCTTACAAACCCTTCAGTCTAAAGGCCTTCATTCTTCTCAGCATCTCAGTGTGGCTCTTTTGGTAGACCTTACAATATCAGTCTAGTGATAGGATAGATCAGACAACTAAACCAGTTTTCCTCTCTACTTGCTTCTTTATTTGCTCTAATATCAAAAATCCCACTCTTTTCCAGATCTGTTTTATAAGTGACTAACGTTGGGGACTATTTTAGTTCTCAAGCAGGATATTTTTGATACCCGGTGAAGATCCCTGTAAAATTCACTGTCAGCCTCTCATGATTTCTCTTCATGTTGGCATGTATTTCAAATAATACCTTCAGAATTGGACTCACCCTCTGATCTCTCTCCCTAATTTGTTCATTCTTACCTAATTTGTCTTTTCTTGCCCTTTTGTGTTAAATAAAATTGTATTGCTTCCAGTACTTTTAAAATTTTTAATTGGCCAATAAAATTGTATATATTTATGGTACACAACATGATGTTTTGAAGTATGTATACATTGTGGAATGGCTAAGTGGAACTAGTTAGCATATGCATTACCTTACCTACTTATGTTTTGTGAGAACACTTAACATCTGTTCACAGTGATTTCCAAGTGCATAGTATTAACTATTGTCACCACGTTGTAACAGATCTACAGATCTCTTTTCTAACATTTTTTAATGTATCCTACAGATGACAGTCTTTCACAGTATGATTTTTACGTGAATTTTATTCCTCCACCAAAATATATGTTCAGATTTTTCAAAGTTAGAAATGCCATTAACACACTGTTGGAGTACCATTTGAATTTCTCCGTCATCCAACCCACTCAGAGATTCCAGTTCAACTTGTCTGGGCCTAGGTATTGAGGTTTTTTTTGTTTTGTTTTGTTTTTCTTTTGAGCTTCCTGATTAATTCTAAGATATACCCATAGTTAAGGAGCCACTGAACAAGAATAAAGGATTTCATGGGCTGGGGATTTAGCTCAGTGGTTCTACTGCCTGCTTTGCAAGCGCAAGTTCTTGAGTTTGATCCACAGTTCCAAAAAAAAGAATAAAGGATATCATTTTTATGGAAAGGCTCCTGGTAAATGTGACACTATTTGATAAGATACCTTCCTAGTTAAAAGTGAAAGCAGTAGCTAAACGTCTGTCTTTTCTTGCCACCCTCAACAGTTCCTGTGGTCCTCAATAGGAATGATTGTCTTGTTATTCCAGAGGGAAGCTCACAGACTGCAGAGGTACAGTGGCAGTTGCATGCAGCTCATGTGAAGTCTGTGCAGAGCTCCCTAGAGTTAGGCTATGGAGGCAGGCCTGGGCCCCACCAGGCTGGCCATTGGCTCTCCCGTGAGCCCTCAGCTTTCCTGGACCTCTCATGTTCCTTAGGGACACCTTTCAGATGACTCAGGCTCTGATATTCCCTCCTCCAGCCCTTTTCCCTGATAACTCAGGATTTAACCTATTCTGCTGGTTCCTAAATCACCTGAATGCTCTGAAGTCTGATATTGCACCACACAGTAACTGAATAAATCAGACTAGTCAGCATTTCAGTAAAATGCATTCACCAAAGATTGAAAGCAAGAAAGTAGAAAATCATAGTGGTACCAGGTAACAAAATGCACAGGTTAATCTATGCACCTGCCAAGTTCGTATCTAGTGCCCACTTCAGAATGTCCTCATGAAGTCTGGAATACCCACACACAGTTGTCTCAGCAAGTTAAAATGACGGCCTGCTTCTTGGAAAGATCATTGTGGTGAAAATTTCCACATGTGCTTCGTGTTTGTCCAGGGTTTCTGAACCTCAGCACCACTAACCTTCTGGGCCGTCATCTGGCATTGTGAAAGAGGCTAACGTGCATTACAGGATGTTTAGCAGCACCCCTGGCCACTACCCACTAGATTCCAGTCACACCCCTCATTGTGACAACAGTGTCTTTAGGTATTGCAGGAATCTCTGGAACTTGCACTTAGGGATAAATTGTCCCCTTTGAGAACTACTCATTTGGTCTAAAGATGTTTTGTGTCCACTTGATATTATTTAATGATATTTTTTTTATTTCATCTCAAAAGGTGAAGTAATATTTTAAAAGTTAAATCTTTGCAAAAGCAAAAAAAAATGAAATATTTTACATCCAAAGGAGTGAAAAGGTAAACATTTTACACAATTTACATATTCAGTCAGAAGATGTCAGTTTGAAGACAGCTGTATAGTTGACTGCATTTCAAGGAGTGAATTTGTAAGCTGTTCTTTAAAATAACACTTAAGGTAAATGGTGCAGATAAAATAAATTCATAGATTAATAATTTGAGATATTTAGATTGTACCTTGAAGTAAATTTCCACATTGTTCAACCCAAATTTTTATCATCTGCATTAAAATGCAAAAAAAATTGTGAAAACATGTTTTATTGCAGAAACTCAAAAACTTTTACAAGCAAAATCAGGGGAAATTGGGTTTAAGTTGCATATGAATAACTATTGAGAGGTTGACGCTGGCATGAGTTCTCTGGTTCTCTCCTAAAAATAAAGCAGAGCAACAAAACATTTTATTGCGGACAATTTTAAACATAAAATTTCCTAAAAATTATGGATGTCTTGCATATCTATCATCCAGGATCTTATCTTAGTGACACTTCTGTGTCAGGTTTTTTTGTTTGGTTTTTGGGTTTTTTGTTTGTTTTTGATTGTTGTTTTGTTTTGTTTTGTTTTTTGTACCAGGGATCGAACTCAGGACCTTGCACTTGTGAGGCAGGTAGCAGAATCACTGAACTAAATCCCCGGCCCTATCCATGTCAGTTTTGTTCCATCTCTGACCCCCACCCTGCGTTGTCTAGAACAAAATCAACTTAGTGCCTTCATGACAAAGTCTGCCAGTCACTGTCTGCATTAGTCCATCTTCCATGGCTATACCAAAAAAACCCAAGACCACAGTTTTGGAGGCTGAAAGTCTAAGTGGCCAGCATA